ACCTCCGAACAGCCAACTGACGAAGCTATTAATTTGATTATCTTGTATTTATTTACGTTGTCACGATTTTCTTATCCTGAATGAATATAAAACTTCCAGTATTGCTGCCTCACATTTTTCATAGAAATAAAAAAAATATACTAATTACTTAACCGTATGTGTAGTTAACTGATTAATGCTCTAAAATTAAATAGTTCGTTGCATTATTCAAACAAAATTACTCAAACTTTATACTTGTTATTTGCTTTTAATGCCTAAAAATTTATTTCATAGGAAATTTAAGCGATTTACGGTCACAAAACATGACATTAATAATGGGCAAAATGCATTCAATTGTAAAAAGACCGCCTCTTTATTCAAAATGAGCGCTGATGTTGCATTTATAAGTGGTAAAAAAGAACACGACTTGTGCTTTTATGCGGAGTCAGAGATTTGAAATCAGAATGTGATAAAAGACTTCAAATTCTCACTTACATTTGTGTGATCCGTCTGAGAAAGCTCCAGTGCTGCTTTCCGAAGAATTGACGGTCCTTAGAAGATTTGCTTCTGAACTAACTTGCTCGATTCCTACTTCGGATATTCTAATTTCTTTTAAAACCAAAATAAACGATATGTTCAGAAGACTGAATAAAACCTACTTGGAGAAAAGCAAATTCATGTTTATTTGATGGGTTATTTTAAGGCTCTTCATATTTTGGAAAGTATATTAATACTTTTCTAACTAATAATTTTATTTGAGCATTTAATATGATTTTGGAAAAAATTTAGAAGTGCGTAGAATTTAGCCAATTTTTTTTTCTATTTTTTGGTACTGCTGTTATCGACCGTATTTTATAGATTAGTTACCTCAACTTAATTCCAATTTGGTTTTAATGCAATTGACAAATAAACGAAGAATTTAAGCTCCTCCAGTATGGTACTGCTACTGTATACTCAAGGAGAGTTTGAGTGAATGCATTCTGTGTTCGATTCAAGTTTCAAATCAAATACCACAAATAGGTGACCTTTTTGTGCCTTTAAATAAAGAGTGATAAGCATTTATGCTATTTAACCTTAACGCTGGAAGTTATTATACAGCCACCTTATGCGTCAATTGTAAATTTAAAATCAAAAAATCAATAGTATAAAGTGGTGGCGTGAGAGATTGCGTCATGCAGGGCCTTAGTGGCAGTAAATTCACGTGGATCGGGCCTTTCCTAATTGTATCATTTATTTCAGCTGCCTAATTTCTAAGTGCCCACACCCGAGGCGAAATGTTTGAAGCATCATATGCGTAAGCCATCTTCGTGTTATTGCTTCAAGCTTGTGCCAAGGCACAAATAGCATTCAGAATTATATTTAGAAGTTAGTACCCGATAGAGATCCCGAGTGTCTATATATGTAAATGTTAGGACCTAAGTGCGGTTTATTCCGTGTAAAGGCTAATTTGTGTGTAATTCGAAATATGACTATCTTTTCCCTACACAGCAACACCTTCGAAGCAGATAGTAGCAGAAATGCGTGGATAGAAAATTTTCGATAAGTATTTGAAATGCTGAAATACGTTGAAGGCCATTTAAGCAAAATCACATACTCTTAGATCAAATGTTGCAAATAGACCTACTCCGAAGTTATAAGCATTTTTCTCCCTCTTTTAAACACTCAAGCCAATATTGCATATATACATGTTCACGTCATAATGTTAATAGTGGAAAATCAGGAGGGAAATTTCCCTACTGACCGTTTCGAACAAATTTTTCTTAGTAAATAAATTCTAGAGTTCAACATAAGAAACAAAACGAATAAAAGGGGTTATTTACAGGATTTGAACCTTCTATGATGAAATGGGTCATTAAAGAACTATTGAATAAAAGTAGGAAAAAAGCACGCAACTGTTTGGGATTAAATCCAGACACACGCAAAATATACACTCATCTTTACTGCACCGGGACTGTTAACAAACTGTTATGGGAAATCGTGTGTCTGTTGTAGGTTATGAACCAATAAGTTTGGTGAAAGTATTCTCCCTATAGGTGGTGCAAAGGTGTAAACATTAGCTTCTATAGTGGCAAGTTGCTCTACAAACAGGAAGATGGGAGTGGTGCTCCACGACAAATATCTTGATCTCAGACAGCTCAGAGTTAGATCGTGAAGCATAATGCTACAAGCGAACTCAAATCCCTGTTCATGAAAGACCACACATCTGTTCCTAATTGTCTTTGAAATGATTTCCCAACAGAAGTGGAAGATCCACGTCTCCCTGAGGATATTAAATTCAAAATGGCGTGAAGTGAAACTCAAGATTAAAAGATGCAATCGCTTTTGAGGAAAGAAGCCTTCTTATTTTGTATTTCTTCATATTTAACAACTGCAGTATTTAAAATTTATCTTTATGTCAAATCTTTTATATGTTGGAGTAATTAAGAGATTATTTTTCGTTGATGTCATGCACTTATTATTAAATACTTTATGGTATTTTAAAGTATGAGCAAGTGGTATGTTGAAATGAACACCATCAATAAGAAAATGAGATATTTTTTCACATTTTCCAAGAAACTTGTCCGCTATTTTTTGTTCCTACGCTTTTTACATTCATGTTGGCAGTAATAGGCAGTTAGAAGGGTGGAAGTGTGCCAAACATGTGCGAGATTTGCCCCTTGTGGAAAAATGCATTTGAACTGAAAGAAGATGCCTTTTTAGGCAAATTTCAGAGATTGCGAACGATATATATATACATATATCGTGAAAACCACACGAATTCAGGCAAATAGAGCGATCACTAGGGATCCGCCATTTTAATCCAACCGCCAAATGATTTTACCGTTCAAGCAAGAAAAACACCAGGAAATGTGCTAGAAAAATTAAACAATTTGAAAATTTTTAAATCTATCAAACGGACTTATGTGCATTTTGGAAGCACCTTTAAGAGAAATTTGTAATTAACATCTCTAGGGCACTGAATTAACGATTGTATTTGGGAAGGAAGTCTCGCTATAGCACGAGCTAACCGGACGAATCATTCACTACTCACCCAAATTTTTATAAGCAAAATTACTTTCTTATTAAAGTGAAGTTGAACTCCTGTGCGGGTTACAGATTTTCATACCTTATTCCCAAGGCAGCCTTATTATATATATATATATATATATATATATATATATATATTTAGCAATTTTATATGATTACACTTTCGGTTTTTCTTTAAGGAATTTAAAACACGGGGTTAATTAATCTTACCTGGGTCAGCTACATTTAGGCATTCATGTTTGCTCATAGAAGATACGTTTCTTCCACACACACTTTTGATAGCTCGCTTGAATTTGTCAGAACAACTCAACTCCTTTGAAAGCTTTGATTTTGGGTCATGGTAGGTAGCCATATAATCTACATAAATAGGTATACTCATCACAAAAGCATATTTTCTCATGCCTTCGATTTGACTGTTAAGCAAGAACTTACCTAGAATTTGTTTCCGTTGGATGGGGATGATTACTACATAAACAAAGAGACCAGTTAGCAGACCAGCGCCTATCGGCGACACGACCATGGCCCAGAGGGGGAGAGTTATTCCAAATGCTGGAAGTAAAAGATGTGCCTCATTTCTGATTTGTAAACTCAAATTCCACAAAAAGTACAAAACCCATATTGCAAATCGTATCACTCATTAGTGAAGGATGCATTAAGAGATGGTTGCATTAATTATAAGACGGGGAGTAATGACGATGAAATTGATATTTTAAGGGAAGGTATTCGCTCCTCCCACCCCACCACCCCCACCCTCACCCTCACCCCAAAACCCCGAAAGTGGAATGGACACATTGGGCAAGAGGATGACTTACTACTGAGGGCCTCGATTACAACCACGAGGGTGTTAATGGCGATAATTATACCATAAAGAAAAGGTAGCGTCATCAGAGCTGGTTCCAGGGGATTTTCCTAAAATTGTAAAAAATTGGAAACAAACGAATTTTGAAAGTTTTATTAATTGCAAGAGAAACTCCTTAATTTCAACAGCGGTACAGACCTCCTATTCTTCCCAAACAGTTTATTTGACTATACCAAAAGCAAAAGGTACAATGAATACTAACACCATATTTTTGAAACAATATCAAAAAGTTAATTACCTTCTCAATAAATAGTGATGAATGCGCATATGAATGCATTCCCTAACCAAATGAAAAAGTATTCGGGAAAGAACGCTCATTTTATATTTTGAAATAATTGAATAAATTCTATGGTGTGAATAGCTTGTTAAAAGCCGTCATTTTATTAAAAGCATGTGGTATTATTGTGGCCCTCAGTAAATCAAAAGATTGTTTGTAACTCTAGATTATGGAAAAAATTGGTCCTTAATAAAACTAAGATGGAAGAGGGGATTAAACAGACGCCGAAGAGTCTTATTTCAACTGATTCCTGGCTTCGGGTGTAGCGTGTTCGCTAAATGAGTTTCATGGTTCGTCCCCCTGGATTTTGAAAATATTTGACCCCGAACTTCATTGCTAGTTGAAAGTTATCGATTATCCGAGAAGAGTCGCTCTTACCACCTCATTTCTCAATTCTTTCTTCCAATGACTGATAAGTGATATTACCGTTTTTCCTCTGCTTACACAATTCAAGTCGAAAGATAGACTACCTGTTTAAATATTGACTTTTTTCTTGATCGTTCAAACGAATACCAGGTATTAATCCCGTTACTTAAACATTCACAAATTAGTTATTATTCAAGCATCCCTGATTTGAAGGTCTATATATGCTTCATTAGCCCATTTTCTCAACATTGCCAAATATTGAGTTAAAATGTGAAAATAATTGAGCTTAAAATGTTCTCATAAAAATAATTAAGTACCGAAATTGAAAATTGAAATGGATTTCACAGATTATACATAATTTTTTAAGTGACTAATGAAAGAAATTCATTTAGACTTGGCATATGAAGAAGATAAACACTTATCGAGACTTGTACCATTCAAATCTGTAGAATAAGTTTCTTTCAAATCGAAAAGTAAGATTTCCTTTTTTATTATAATGGATGTGTATTTGAGCTGATTTTTATCGGCAAAACTGCCTTATATTTGAATTCAGCAGTATTTTTATGACACTTAGCGCAAATAGTGCACTTAAATAACTAGTTTGATAACTTGTAAGCAAACAGAAAAGAAATGAAGGCACTCTTTTCTCCATGTTCATTGGATTATAGTTTTGAGTTTACCTTTTCAAGAACCACTTTTTTGATGCAGTAGAAGACGAAAATTGAAACCAAACCACTAGTCACTGGTGAAAGAAACCACGATCCAGCTAAAGTAAAAGTTTATTTCGAAATTTAGTAGGAATTTATCAGAGCCAGTTTATTTCAATTTTGGATGATGGCTTACCGATTTCACCAACTTTACGCCAGTTAATTCCATCCGTGCCAAATCTAACCAGGCTGAAACCAATTACTGCACCAACAATACTATGAGATCCGGATACGGGAAGTTTGAAAAGAGTCGCCAGTAACAGCCAAATGCACGATCCTGGAAGGTACAAGGTCTTAAGATAAGGTATGCATTCTCTAAATTCGTTAAAAGCATTGTCTACTGTAATGACATCAGCTTTCAGGACTTGCCTGCAAGAGCAGATAGATGACCATTCAACATGAGATCATTCCCATTCATAGAATCGTTGAATTGGCTAATATCGATGATGTCTTTTCGAATTGTGCTTGAGACCCGCGCTCCAATGAGAATAGACCCAGCCAGCTCGCAGATACTGGCAAGAACACAGGCGGTACGAAGAGTGATAGCTTTTGATCCAACACTAGTTCCAAAAGAGTTTGCTACATCGTTCGCTCCAATGCCGAAGGCCAAAACGAAGGCTATTAGGAAACCTGCGACTACTACCAGAAGTTCTGAGGCAGGGAGGATAAGCATATTTTTCTATACCTGAACTAAAATAAAAGCTTTGTTGGACTTAATTATTCCTTTGTCTTTTCTTGAAATTAGGTCAGTTAAGTTGGGAAGAAGTAAATTATCTTGGAGTCACTCTCATTGAAAGCTCGCATTCAGTCTCCCTCCTCCCCCCCTTTATTGGCCTGATTTAATCAGCGTGGTTGGATATTTGGATCATTAAATACACACCGACCTCCGCGCAACTGCACAAGCACATCCAAGCAGACACCCATTTCGAGTCTATTAAGGCAATTTGGTATTAAGGGCGTGCAATGAAAGCTCCGCCAATCTAGTTAGTATAAAGACATTCCTTATAAAAAATTGAGACGAAATGTACTCAAAACACATATGCAACTTTAAAAGGTTTTGTCGGTTGATATATCTAATGAACGAACAAAATTTTACAGATTTAATTCACTATAGAATGGAAAAAATTAAAAGGGTGATAAACAAAACTAAAGAGAATACCCTGAAATGCATAAGTAGTGGGGACGAAATAGATAAGAGTGAACAAATCGAAAAAATTTTGAATTCCCAAACGATTATATTTTAAAATATAGCAAATTCAGTAGTTTATTTAATCTGAGACATTAATTGGAAAAGATTCTCGGCCCCAAATACTACCTAGTTAGTCCTAAAAATAGTTGAACATTCCATTAAAATGCATGAAATTAGATGGTTATTCAGATGAAAGTACGTAACAAACATCTTAAAAACTAATGCTTTAAAGGCAAATTTTTCAATGAACTCAATAGAATTTAAATAAAGTTCACAAAACGATAATCTTTTAACCAAATCCCAACAGTGATGACTAAAAATGAATATATAAAAGAAAGGCTATCAATAGGCAGAATACGTAGAAAATCTTTAAAAATAGCATTTTTAAAAATATAAAAATGGCTCTAAATAGGTATTTAAAACGTTCGATTTTGCATAGCCATGACAGCAACGAAAATTCCGAATATAAAAATTCGTCAGCATAGACAATAATGCATTAATAGAGATATAGATTGAATACTTGACAATCATAAAGTAATATTTATAACTTATTCAAAATTAAAGTGAAAAATATGGATGAATGAAATTTATTTAAATTGAATAATTCGCGGTATATTTTGATGAAACATTAACATATCTTACTCTAACTAACAAAATTTAAGAAAGAATGCTTTAGATTTCTGAGGCAAGAACTTAGCGAAAAAGTGCCACCGCTTCAGATTTTATTGAATACGTTAGAATAGTAAAATACCCTTGAATGGATCACCATATATCAATACACATGTAAGCAAACTAAAGCGAAATTGCAAATTTTATGCCTAATTCATGTAAAATTAATATAATAATCATCATGAATTAAAAATCATACCAAAAATGGAGGAGATTCAAGATCATCACATTTTCCATAAGTGATTTGTAAAAAATATTGAAAAGCAACATATAGGTATGACAAACTACATTCTTACGTAACAGCGTATGGCGTGACGAAATACGCCAGCAAACTTCTTTAAATTTGGCTAATAATAGTACGGAGATGTTAAATAGTCAATAATTCTTCAACTTGATTGGTTATTAAAAAAACCATGTGTCCAAGAATTAACCAATCGTGTGCATGCAATTTTTAATTTAGCGCATTCATTTAGTTGTTTGGGTCATAATGTAATTTAAAAACATAAACAAAATTTTCTTCCCTCGAAAGTTGACACTGACAATTCAACAAGTCAAAAATAACTTTTTATTAAATTATTTTTTAAACGCTGTTACTTCTCAAAAAATTAACTTTTTGAAACAGTTGGCTTTGTTTGTTATTACTTATACAAAGAACCAAGTTTTTGGGTTCTAATAATTATTTTAGTTTGCGACTTTGAAAAAGATCCGTTTTTAATAATCTCACTCATTTGAACTTTCTAAATATCTCGTTAAATGGTTTGGCATTTCACATATCATTCACTAAATTCTTATTCAATCTATTTTATCACATTTTTAGTTTTCCATTTATTCCTTGGCCGTGAAATACTTTGGAGCTTTTGGTGGCCATCTAAAATTTCTGGTTTATTATTTTTGCTGAAACTGAGATATATTCAGTTCATTTGTACTTAGTGGGCATTGTCATTTCATCTTCGGTTTTTCAAATTGCAACGAATATCATTTAGTTTATGAGGTTTAAGAGTTTAAATGCTCTTGGTGAAAGACCGATTATGTTCGTCTTTTAGGCAGTCAGCTGATGACCCGAATATTATAATGAATATGAAACATGTGTTTCGTGCTAAAATTTGTATAATCATCGGTAATAAATTTACTTATTCTATATCTTCTATTTTGCACCAATCCTCACTACAATAACAGGATCGAGAGGATGGGGTGGAGCAGTAGTGAGTTTGGTTCATTTTAAATGTTTGCTTATCTTGTTGTGTTCATATCTTATTTCGAAGGTATAGCATAAACGAATAGTATGGTTAGGGTAATGGCTTATGCTGAGCAGTATGAACAGAACAGTATCAATATCCACTTAATGACTACTAGCATGGTATAATCAGCTGAGGAGATATTCACAGCAATTCATATACCGCTGTAAATGCAATAGCACTTCCGAGTTAATTATCTTGAGAACTTTGGAAAAGTTTAATAAAACCTCTCACGGTATTAGTTAGTCAACTTTGCTTTAACATTGAGTCAACATAGATTAAAGCATCCTGTTATCTTAAAATATGTCACTTCTCAACTATTGAAAAGTGAAGTGAAATGATCTGGCAAGACTATCCATCTTTGACTAATAAAGGCCTTTCAATAAGTCCTGGATATTATGGCCAAACACTTACTTAACTTCAGATGACAAATCGCGAAACAAGATTTTTTTCAATTTGTCTAGAACTTACAACACGGTTCTGGAAATCAAATGAAACAAGACGATTTGATGCATTGACGCTGTCTTTACCATATTTCTGATCCAGTCCCTTGAAGTTTGTTCGACTTTCGAATGAAACTGTAAAGTTATATTTCCATTAATAACCATAATTAGTTCTAATCGCTGTCTGTACAAATCCTGGTGACTGGTGAAAATTTCTCCATCTTATCAGACGAACAAGATGAAGGGTCGCATTGGTTAATTCTTGTCAAAGAAAAACACATTGGAAGATGACATTTCATAAATACGCTTCAAGATTGGTATGTGCGGTTCAAATTTCCTGCTCAATTATTGTCTTTTATATATCGTGAAGAAGGGGTTGCTAACGTAGTCAATTGCCAGTTTATGATGAGTCATAGTGGCTTTAATTTTACAAACACTGGACTATGTAGAATGTGGCCACCCGATTCTCAGATGATGAAACTACTATAAGAAAGATAATTATAATCAACAATGCAGGTAGTTTATATTAGCTAAACGTACTATCTCATAGTGCAGATGCCGCCCACGTATGTTTATCCATGGTTCGGTTCAAGAAACACATACTGTTCACACCAATAAACATAACCTTAAAGTAAAATTTGTCCAATCTAAGGGGTAGAGTATAAACCATTACCCCATCGCTTGATTTGCTTTAAAATGCTGTGGATCTATATTTCCCAGCATACTTTAAGGTAGTTAAGCTTATTATTTATTCCACATTACCAACTTCTCACAGGGTACCAAAATAGAATTATGCAATCCGTGCGTGGGAGTTATTAAACAAGATTTATATTTCATTATTCAACATGTAAATTGTCGTGGTATAAATTGATGTGTACACCGGCATAAAGGCCTGAAAATCATATTGTATCCGATACAACTACGCACACACACAATGACGTAAAAATTTTCTCAGAAATGTATTAGGTAAGATAAATGGATAGAATAATAATAATAACAACATTTATGACAATAATTATACAAAATTGATTCATGAGTCCTGAACATCTTCCGGATGCAGTCTCACTTAACCCAAAGGGCACTTCAAATTTGGAACACGCTAATACTAAGTGCCGCACCATACTAGCTAGCTGAAAGATCACACACCCCGAAACTGACAAATATCAAATGAAATAGCAAAAAATCTGATGTAATAACAACACCCACAAGATCTATCTCTCTTTATTTGGTCATATTCATATTTCCGAGAGAGCAATGGGTACAATACAATTTCAATTGTACATTTTTGCTATTTTGCTTGGGCGATATTCAATGCAAGATTAAATATCTAAAATAAACCATTTTGAACCGCAAAAGAAGTGACAATCAACACAATTTTTAGTTGGTTTGGCTTAAAGTGAGGATATTCAATGCTGCTCGTAGATGAAATAGGATTATTTTGGAAGGGGTGTGGGATAGACTTATCTCCTCGTGGTGCACCCTGGGCAACGTATAATTATACGGCAAAAAGTCAATTAACCATCAGTTGACTTCTCACTTCAAATTACCATCACTCCCACTGTATGTCATATTCGACCCCTACCGCAGTACTCACCTTACCCTTTCTAAGCCTTTTTGTCTGTCTGTTTCTTTTACATCTGTGAATCACTCTTCTATTCCCTCTCCCGAATTCTTCTCACTTTGTTGTTCCTCCTCCCCTCTGTGAAGCCCGAAGTCAACTAAAGGGCTAATGATAACTATCAAACCGCCTGCCATTTGTTATAAATAAGATTATTTCGGAATGTTTCGAACTGATTAACATTACAATTTGTCAATCTAGCATAAAAGAGCGAAAAAATCCCTTGTACACTCAGATAGCCGTACAGTAGTTCTAATCACTGCACAACTGCACAATTAGATGCCATCGATATGTTAGAAATCACTGAGCCCCTTGCATATGCGACCACAATCTTACCACAAGGCTAATTCTTTTGAATCATATCGGTCATTTGGTTCATTTATTAAGGCAGTATGAGCAATACAAAACGGACGAGTGGATCCATGGTTAAACACATATAAATTTAGAAAGCGTTTGAGGGTTGAAAACACTTTTACCATTCGGTTCAGGTGAATTTACGTCGATGAATCGTCTCCTTCA